CATAGCAGAACTGTCTGAAAAATGGTCTATAGGAAATAGTACAGCTTATAAAATGAGTCAGGTCAATGTAGGTTGGTATGGCAATCACTGATTGGCATGTCCTTAAGCCTACTGAAGGATGTATAGATTGTATAGGAATTCTTTTTGGCAGAAAATGACAGGTTTACGTGTTTTAATAAAGATGGCTTCCAAAATATAGAGATGAAAGATCGACCGATCACTTGCAATAATTTCAAACCTACTATCCGTGTAGTTGTCAGCACAAGTCGGGTTCACTAGTAAATGCTGGCCAATTGCTGATTCACATTTTGGTGGTAGAACTTTTGTTTTACAGGAGCGACATGGTAAATTCTTTTCTTTCACACTCTTAGCTCTTATGGATGTGGGTACATGTTGTTTAATTCGATCCTGCAATATTTGTGAAGTGTGACCTACGTACCGAAATTCGCAGTGGCACGAGAATTCATAATTAACCATACTTTTCTGTGTGGTAGGTATCACATCTTTGTATGTTGCAAGCAACAACTTACATGATGAATAAGCACAGTAGGGGTTCACTGCAGGAAAACATTTAGTAATGGCCGTTTTCAATTGTTTTTCAAATTTTGTTGAAATGTTACCAATCCATGGTAGTTTTAGGTAAACAGGACACTTGTTAGGACCACATTTTGGGTCAGTTGAGAAGCTCACAATTTTCCTTGAAGTAATTTGATTGATGACGTTTTCTGAGTACCCATTTTCTAGTAAAATAATTTTATTGTCTTCAAATCGAAATCTAGTTTAGATTTTGAACAGATAACTAGAGCTCGATGGACTGAAGTAGCAATGAGGTTCATTTTGCAACTGAAAGAATCCCATCGTGTGTATTTTCCTGTAAAGGTAGGTTTTCTGTATATACTGGTGAGAAAACGAAATTCATCTTTTTAAACTAAGACTTCTAAAAATGGTAAAAAGTTATGTTTTTCCTTTTTGAAAGTAAATTTGAGAACAGAGTGCAACAAGTTTAGGTTTTGTAAGAAACACTCACATTCCTGTTCAGTTTTAAAAATGGCAAATGTGTTGTCTACATAGTGGAAGTAAACAGCAGGCCTGGTAACTTTGTTAAATAGTTCTTTTTCATGGAAACAAATGAAAATATTGGCTAAGGCAGGTCCAAGTTTTGAACAACTCGACTTTCAAGATCTACATATTTACATGTTTCCATTTATCAACGTTATATTTTAAGATCTGTGCAAGAACTCAACTAACAGATGTTTCCGCATATATAAGCTATCTTCAAATTTTGTACATCAAAAAAGCTTT